CTCTCCAATTCATGAAAATGATTGTGATGAAATGCTTTCACTAAGTAGATTTTAAGGAGATAGTAGTTGTGATATTTGCATTCTCAAATTCGATTATGATTACGACATCCCTCTTCATAGTTCGAATTGTGAGAAATGGAAAAGGTCTAAACATTTGAGACTTATTGTTGTAAGTTCTAAAATTGTTTAGACACACATGTGAGCTATCTAAGGAAAGGTGTACGAGTTTGAGAAGTCTAGATAAGGTCTTATGAAACCATCTCATATCAGAAATCTGAACTTTGGAATGAAAGTCAATAAGTATTAATTTCTAGAAGTCCAGCTGATTTCTAGGTACATGTCAAAGCTAGTGGGAGCATAAGTGTTATTCTAGTAAGATAATAATTATTATGCTAGTGGAAGCATAATTATTATAAGTGTTGCGAGTTAGCAATGTTAATTATAGAAAAAAAAAGTTTCAATTTGCAAAGATGCAGGGTTTGAACAATTGTTTTGCTATAATTAAGGGAGAGAAATTTATACTTCATTTCAATTCTAAAAGCTTAGATTGAGATTTTTTAATCAAATTTAGTCAGATATGTATGAATGTCATGTTGGAATGGTTCAACATAAGGAAATTCTATACATGGATATGTTAATTGTGTTCTCAAATTCGATTATGATTACGACATCCCTCTTCACAGTTCGAATTGTGAGAACATGGCAAATAAAAATATTATATCAAAAGACTGATCAAGTATCATGTCTTTATGTTAGACATTATGAATTGTGTCACATATGCTTCGGGTATAGGATTGATTGCATATGCTATAATATTCTCGTGTTCTAATTTTCCAAATACCCAAGGCATTAAAGGGAAAAAGGAATAGAACCATATATGACTAAATTGGTTAAACAACTGTTAAGTACAATCTAAGGTTCGCCAATGATTGGTTGCTTAATGACAGTTGGAAGTATAATAATGAATGGAACATATTAACATAATAGACATAATTCTATTAATAGTGAGTTGTCGTATGACAAGATATGGAATGTTTCTATAGTTGGAGATTAATAATATATGAGAAACTTAGAAACTTTTATGCAAGAAGGATGTTCAAAGGAATGTACTTTGAATTTGAGACTTCGCTTCCTTGGAATTGTTTTGTTATCAATCTCAAGTGGAAAGTTTTGTAATATCGTTGGTCAATTCACTGTGACTTTTGGTACCTAGACATTACAAAAGATTCATTGCATGATAGTTTAGAATCTAACACTTTCTATTAGTGACAAGAATTTGGAATTCTTACACTTGCAATAAGGATTTGGAATTGTGAAATGAGCATCATTGAAATGTTGTCAATTGATCTATTTCACAAAGTAATGAACATAGACAAACATAGTGTGCATGATTGGAGCATGGGACAACTAATGTTTTAATTCAAGTATTAAGTTGATTATTCGGAAAATTATACAATGAATAACGAGTAATCAATATGGGACTCAAAAGTTTTGGGGACCTCTAGGATTAGTATTATTCTTGTGTTTCACTTTGCAGGTTTTGACTTCCCGAATAACTAGGTTATTCAAACCATCCATAGTTGATCATACTTTGGAAGTAGGTATTGAGGTAAGACTGTCATGAACGGGTTTGTAGAGGTGTTTTAGACATATCGCAAGTTTGCTACAATGTTCATGAGTGCTCCTGGAATAAGATTCGAGTATTGGATTCAACCCACGCTTATTGAATCACTTCATGGATTTTATCACGAGTGATTGTGAGACGATAATATCTTATATTTTTGAAACCAAGACGTGTGAGTTGTAGTTGCAAGTCGGTTTCATATTGACATATGTACACGCACCAGTAACCTGGTGTTATAAAACATATCGTTGTGTGTCATTTTATGAGTAAGTATAAGCGAGCATTTGGGTCAAAGTTATCCGTTCCTTTTACCCCATGTGGATAAAAGCAATATATGTGGTCCCCTCGATGATTTAGTGATAACAAACCTAAGTGCCTGGCCAAGCCTATAATGATTTGATTTGTTCAATGAGTCGATCATCATAAATCGGAAATCGGGAAACAACAAATGGACAGAGAGAATGATTATAATCCATGTCTTAGTCCATATGATATCTAGAATGTAGGAATATATGATCCCTTATCTAATGGACACATCATTGACTAGGTCAGAGTTTGACAACGGCTTTTAAGAGCTACGATCGCTAGTCGGGTTGTGGAGTCGTACTAGCAATAATAGTTATTAGACTTATCCAAGTGGGAGACTTTTGGGTAAGGTGTCTAAGCTCATAATTATAATTGGTGTGTACTTGACCCGGAAGTAATGTGGTCCATTTGGGTTGCATATCACTAGGACAGTTTGATAGGATGGACTTTTGAGAAAAGGTTATTTATGATTTGTTAATATATTATAAGTTCTGATATATTAATATGAAATCATATCATTTAATTAGTATTAATTTGGAATTAATTTTGTGATCAAAAGAGATTAATTAAATCTATGGGGATTGATTTGGTAACTCACTCATTCTTATGGTGTGGGCTAATGATCCATGATTCTTTAGGTTGGGCTAAACCTATGTGACAACCCATGGAGGTTTAAACCCATGGAGCCTAAGGAATATGGAAGGTCATGCACATTAGGGTTTACATGGTGTAACCCTAATCTTGCCACACTATATAAGAAGCCCCTTAGTATCCAAAATTGGCTACTACACACACTAGTGATCTTGGAGATCATTGAGCCAATTTTGGTGTTAGGATACTCTTTGAAAAGTCTCCTTTGTTCTAGGTATGTTGTGATTCCATCTGAGGTGCAACACTTGGGGCAGTAAGTTCTTAAAGACCAAACTCAAGAAGTTCTACAAGCTACAACAGAGAGGTAATTCTATAATTCTCTTTTATGTTGATTATGTCATTTGTATGCTAGTTAGGAAGATGCTTTGGAACAACAAAGTTTGCATGTATATTAGAGAAAACATAGATCCAAAGCATCTAAGGTTGCATATACACCATAGGAGTGTTAGAATGCTCAAAACCCTTCAGTGGTATCAAAGCCTAGGATTGTTTTCCACTATACTTGATGTTTTATTGGTTTTCAAAGCAAAAAATCGAATTTTCTACATTCTGGACAGTAAACTCGTCGAGTCCATTGGGGTCTGTCACTAAAGGTGGGGCCCATTACACTAGACGATGTCCATTACTCAACGCGGGGTCCATTATACTAGACATGGTAAATTACTTAGGACGGGGCCCATTATACTGGACGAGGTCCATTACTCAGGGCAGGGCCCAATACTTGCATTGTATGTGGTATATTGGGGAATTCACTAAACTTTGTGAGGTGAGATTGTTGTTGTAACGAGCGCGTTTGATTACATCAAAATTTATCTTTTCAAGAAACACATAGTTAAAAAGTATGTAATTTTCTCCATATTTTGTTGTTTACAATTATTATATATTTGCAATCATCACTCATATGGATTCTTTTCAGGAGATCATAATTTCATCCGAGACTAGAAAAGTAGAAGTCTAGGAGTACGATGGTGTCAAAATTTCTTACAATAAGTACATAAAAATAAAATAAAATCCAAGATTTATATTAATTTTTTTTTTTATATACCGGTTTTGTTGAATGTGTTAGATAAATACTACCAAACACAATATGAATGAAATGTGTAACAAATGTTTCTGGTTATAGTATTGGTATAAACCCAAATCATAACAATTTTGTTTTTATAATCGTTTTTGTATAACTATTCATCAATTTTAGCCATCAATCTTATCAAACAAATACATTTTATTTAGCACAAAATAAAACAAAAAGGGTAAAATGATCGTTTTCAATAGTAAATACAACTAATAAGATGCTTAATCAAATAACATGATTTTATGCAGTCACAAACGCTACCAAACCCTGACTCAGTTTAATCTGATTCAATCAACAACTATCAAACAATCTCCATAAACACTCAAATGTGATTCGAACATTCATATAACAAATAAAAGTTCATCTAATCAATTTCTAGAATTGCCCTAAAAAATATATTTATATTTTTCTTAACAATTATCATATTATGTAATTTACACATTTCAAAAGTTTCCTATTACTTTTATCAAATTCTTATATTCTTATATAATAAATAAAATCTAGAGGTTGCCACCGACTAATTTTAGCAAACACTACAAACTCTCAAAAAGGCAACTCAATCACACCCTTTCTCATGTCATCAACAATTGTATACATAATAAATCAAATTTTTTAATAATCATTGACAAATGACAATTGACAAAATGATTATAAAACATTACAATTTTAAGCCACTAGCCATTACCCAATATTCTAAACAACAATATTATTTTGGAAGTATTTCGAAAAATAAATCAAAACAAGAGCACAAATGTATAATATCTTGCACCTAAATGGAAAATACTTTTCATAAACATCCAAGAAAGACCTTTTGTTTTAAAGGAAGAAATCAAAGAAATTTTGACACTTTGATAAAATTCAACGGTCAGGATGACTTCCTGACAACTGCTGGTCCAGCTAATCTAGAAGCAGAAGCCAACACCTTCGTCGTCTTCCGCCTTCAATTTTTATTTATTACCGCTTCAATGTCCATCACATCTCCGTACTCCTCCTCTTCAATGGCGACACCGCCTTCTTTGCCGTATTTCAATCCTTATCATCGTTTCCGTTACTCCACTTTCTCGCGCACACATACACGCACTTGAGGTGAAACGAAACGCATTTGCTGCTTCTAAAGCTCACAATAATGTGAATTCGGTCCAAACTTATACCATTTTTAGGGTTTAGGTTTCCAGTTTCTAAATTTGAGTTTAAAAACGGAATATTTGGTTAGGATTTAGTTGATTTTGAAATTTGAATACTTCAGCGTGCAGTTCCTATTTGTTAGGGTTTTTTCGGAGGTTTATTGGTGTGAATTATTGAAAAATTTGGGGTTTTGTGATTGTTGAACAAATGTTTTGATTAAATATGCCAAGTATCAGAGCTCCAGCGACTAAGAAAGCTACAACTCTCACTGTAAGTATATTTGATCATTGAAATTGGAGTTTCGGATTCTATGTTAATTGTAGCTTATACAGAGCTGTTGTTTATAGGTTGCTGTAAAGTGTAGGCCATTAACGGAGAAAGAGCGAGGTCGTGATATAGTACGAGTGAACAACAACAAGGTGTCTCTTTGCTCTTCTCTTAGAGAATATTCTTCAGTAGAAGCTTTACATTTTGGTGATCATGTTTTTTGAATTATGTTGTAATGGTTTCCTCAGGAGGTGGTTATTTTGGATCCTGATTTGTCAAAGGACTACCTAGATAGGATACAGAATCGAACAAAAGAGAGAAGATATGCTTTTGATCATGCATTTCCCCCAGATTCTACAAATTCGGTATGTGGTGGATAGTTTATAGGTTACGTGTTCATAACTTCATATGCTTTTATTGCTAATTTGCTATGTTACCAAAAGTGGTGCCTAAGTTGTTCTTAAGTTTTAACCAGAATCCCATCAATTCGATTTCACATTCATCATCTTGATGGAAATACAAATACCTACTTTTATAAGCATCAGAAGTGGTTTGGAGATTTTGAGTTTTACTACTTTTGATCTCTTGATAAACTTGTAACAGTATAAACTTGAAAAACACCATATTCTCAAGTTTCTATCACTTTGTCAATAGTGTAAACTGTAAAGGACATGTTCTTATTGGCTTCAAGATATTTTATTCAATGTATGTGTCTTCACTTTGTTATGAAAATAGGTATAATTTAAAAGTTGTGCTATATGCAGGATGTGTATGAGAGAAGTATATCTTCCACAATCTCTGGAGTAGTTCATGGCCTAAATGCCACTGTGTTTGCATATGGTTCAACTGGAAGGTAAAATAAATAAATTTGAGTATTATAAATGAAAAAAAAAATCCTACTCTATACAATGTGTAACATTTTTTTTATACATTCTTTTATAATTCCAGTGGAAAAACATATACAATGGTAGGAACTGAAGGTGATCCAGGCCTAATGGTTCTCAGTCTACATACAATATTCAATTTTATAAAAAACGATAAGAGCTCTGATGAATTTGAAGTTACTTGTTCCTACCTTGAAGTCTACAATGAGGTAATATTAAATATTAATAACATGTTATTATGTTAATCTCTTTCCAAAACTATATTATAATTTTTTTTAATTAAAAATAAAAAACAGGTAATCTATGATCTTCTTGAAAAATCATCTGGTCATTTGGAACTCAGAGAGGATCCAGAACAAGGGATAATTGTAGCTGGCCTTAGATGCATCAAGGTTAAATATCTTTTTCTTGGCTTTACTTCATTTTCCCAATTTATATAAATTAAAATATATTAATTAATAGGGTTAATCTCATAAAAGACCTTATATTTTGTGTTCTTTTTTAGGATTAAACTTCAACTTTATTTTTTGCATGAAAAAGACCTTGTATTTTTTCATTTATTCCGAAAGAACCCCTCTAACCTTCTATCTGCTTCCAAACAAACCCTCAACTTTTTAGTTTTTCTTGTAAAAACCCTCACATTTTACAATTTTTTTGGAAAAAAAACGACTAAAAGGGCCGGATCGGAAAAAATGAAAAAAAAAATAACAAGGTAGGCAAAAAATAAATTTGAGGTTTAATCCGGAAAAAACACAAAATATAAGGTTTTTTATGAGATTAACCCTAATTAATATTAATATTTAATAGATATAAGAGTAAATTACACGAATGGTCCCTATGGTTTGGGGTAATTTACATGTTTGGTCCCTAACTTGTTTTTTTAACTCGGAAGGTCTTTACGGTTTGTTTTTGTTGCGTGCTTGGTCTGTGTCTTACCTAAAACGACTATTTTGCCCTTGAATTTTAATTTATTTAAATAAACACACCCCCAACCCCACTCCCACTTCCACCTCACCTTATCTTACCTTACCTACCCCACCTAATTTAAACAAATTAAAAAATCAAGGGCAAAATAGTCTTTGTAGGTAAGACAGGGACCAAGTGCGCAACAAAATCAAACTGTAAAGACCTTCCGAGTTAAAAAAATAAGTTAGGGACCAAACATGTAAATTACCCCCAACCATAGGGACCATTCGTGTAATTTACTCCTAATATAAATATTTTCTTTTTGTTTTAGGTCAACTCAGCTGACAGGATTCTTGAGCTTTTAAATATGGGAAACAGTAGGCGAAAAACAGACAGCACAGATGCTAATGAAACATCATCACGGTGAGTTATACTCTCAATTATTCATAATCTATTTTCATGTTTTCTGTTTGTAATTACTAAAATACCCTTTTTGTTTTTCTGAAATAGGTCACATGCAGTTTTGGAAATAACTGTGCTTAGAAAGCAGAAAAAGAAATATCGTAGTCAAGTCATACGTGGTAAACTTGCACTTGTGGATCTTGCTGGAAGGTATAATAAAATAAATATGATTCTGTTTCTTCCCAAAATTTTATATATAAAAAAAAAATGTTTTACACCTAAAAATATATATAAAAAACAAATTGCAGTGAGCGAGCTTCTGAAACAAACAGTGGTGGACAAAAACTAAGAGATGGTGCGAATATAAACCGATCGCTTCTTGCTTTAGCAAATTGTATAAATGCTTTGGGAAAACAACAGAAAAAAGGTCTTGCATATGTCCCTTATCGCAACAGGTATGAAATTTCAAAATTTCAAATTTATTAGGGTTAATCTCGTAAAAGACCTTATATTTTGTGTGTGTGTGTGTGTGTTTCTAGATTAAGCCTCAAACTTTAATTTTTTTTTCATGAAAAAGACCTTGGACATTTTCATTTTTTTCAATTTGGCCCTTTGTCATTTTTTTTTCAGAAAAAAACTTGTAAAATGTGCGGGTGTTTTTTGGAAACAACTAAAAAGTTGAGGTTTTTTCGGAAACATCTAAAAAGTTGAGGGTTTTTTCTGAAACTACTAAAAACTGAGGGTTTTTTCTGAAACAACTAAAAGAGTTGAGGGTTTTTTTGGAAACAACTAAAAAAGTTGAGGGTTTTCGGGGGTTAATTTAATAAAAGACCTTATATTTTGTGTTTTTTTTGGATTAAGCCACAACTTTATTCTTTTCATGAAAAAGAACTTGCATGTTTTCATTTTTTTTCTGATCTGCCCCTTTTAGTCATTTTTCTCTAAAAAAAGTTGTAAAATGTGAGGGTTTTTTTCAGGAAAAACTAAAAAAGTTGAGGATTTATTTGGAAACATTTAGAAGTTTGAGGGTTTTTTTTTTTTTTTGGATAAAAGAGAAAGTCGAGGGTTTTTTCCGAAAAAATATAAGGCCTTTTTTCATGAAAAAAAATAAAGATGAGGTTTGATCCGGAAAAAACACAAAATATAAGGTCTTTTATGAGACTAACCCAATTTATCATAACTCTATTAAAGTATTAATTCATTTGTGTTTATTGACATTTTTTTTAGCAAATTGACACGGATTCTTAAAGTTGGATTAAGTGGAAACTCTCAAACAGTCATGATTGCAACTATATCACCTGCAGATAATCAATATCATCACACTATTAATACTCTAAAATACGCTGATCGAGCTAAAGAAATTAAAACCCATATTCAGGTAAAAAAAATATATACGTTTGATTAAATATAAATATGATATAAAAATAAATGATTTTATTTATTATATTCTTTTTCTTCAGAAAAATATAGGCACGGTTGATACACATGTATCGGATTATCAGCGTATGATTGACAGTCTTCAGGTAAGCTATTTTGATAAATCTTAAAGTAAGTTACAGAAATGGTCCCTGTGGTTCAGTTTGTTGCAGAAATGGTCCCTATCACTAACACCGTAAAAAATGGCTGCTAATTCATTGTAAAAATGACAAGTTTTACCCCATAGATCATAAAAACAACAAAAAGGGCAAAATGGTCATTAAATTTAATGCCTGATTTTAACAAACTTGCAACAAATTGAAACCACAAGGATTGGCCATGATGCCACGTAATGAAATGCAAAGTTGGACTAAAGTTGTAATTTCCACTATACCACAGGGACCATTTGTATAATATATTATAAGTTTTGTATTTATTTTTTTTCACAGACGGAGGTTAGTCAGTTGAAGACACAATTAGCTGAAAAGGAATCACAATTAAGCACAAAACCTACTGAAAGACACGTGGATGATGAATTATCATGGCTGAATATATTAAGCCAAGAAACAAGTGAAAATGTCCAAGAACGAATAAATTTACAAAAAGCTTTATTTGAATTAGAAGAAACCAATCTCAGAAATCGAACTGAATTACAACATCTTGATGATGGAATCGCAAAACAACAGGTACTATTATTATTATTTTTATTATTAATTATTATCATTAAAATTTATTAAAAATAATTAAATTGGAATTATTTTTTGTTTTACAGGCGATTGAAAATGATGGAACAGTTGTACGGGCGTTAATGTTAAGGCGACAACTTGTTCTTGATAATATTCGTGACAATGATGAGACTGGTGTTATTTACCAAAAGGTTTACTTTGACTTTTGACTTTTGAATTTTGACTTTTGAGTAACGAGTTTGAAATGTTGTGTAGGAAATTGAAGCGAATGAGAAAAGGCGATGTGAATTACAGGAGATGATTGATGAAGCGATTAGTAACAATGCGAATAGAACCTACTTGCGTATTCTCAGCCAATATCGACTTTTGGTAATTTTTTTTTAGTGAAAGTTACATTTTTGGTCCTTGTTTGAGGTTTTTGTAACGTTTTTGGTCCCTAATCCAAGTAAAATCGCCATATATTTGGGACCAAAATTGCAAGAGAACCTTTAGGGACCAAATTTGGAAAAAAGCAGCTATACTTAGGGACCAAAAAAGTAATTTACTCTATAATTTAAGATAAAGTATAAATGTAACACTACAATTTAGTGAAAATTACATTTTTGGTCCTTATTTGAGTTTTTTTTTAACGTTTTTGGTCCTTTTTCCAAGTAAAATCACTATATTTGGGACCAAAATTGCATGAGAAAACCTTTTGGGACCAAATTTGCATAAAACAGCTATTCTCAGGGACCAAAAATGTAATTTACTCTAAAATTTAAAATAAAATATAAATGTAATATATACTTTAGTGAAATTTACATTTTTGGCTCTTATGTGAGGTTTTTTGTCCTTATTCCAAGTAAAATCACAATATATTTGACCAAAATTGCATGAGAACCTTTTGGGATCAAATTTGCAAAAAAACAGCTATATTGAGGGACCAAAAATGTAATTTACTCTAAAAAATTTAAAATAAGAATATAAGAGTCTTTGTTAGCTAAATTGTGCCACGTCAATGTAGGGGATGACTAATACGGAGCTTCAATACGAAATGGCAATGAGGGATCAAGTGATTCACAATCAAAGGGAAACACAAAGAAACCTATGGAATCTAGTGATGGGATTAGGGTTAGACGAGAAGCAAATGCTTAAGCTGGCTGCTAAGCAAGGGATAACTATCGAAGACTGGACCACTGTCCCATCTTCATCACAACAAAAGATGGGACAGGAAAGATCCACCGGGCCTAGGCCTGGGCCCAGTGGATACAAAGATATGTCTCATACGTATTGCAGAGAGGAGCACCATTCGTCGTATTACTTTACGTCGAATGGCTCTCCTTCTGCATATATGAGACTAAGTAGTAGGAGTAGTGAGAATTGGGTTGGTCATAGACGGTCCTCGTTTGGTGAAGATGGGGACCACGGTTCGAACCGTGGTCCGTGTGGGTGCAACCGGTTGACCAACTGTAAGCATATGGTTTTGCAACCGAATGTCTTGAATGTATCTGAGATTGGTCCTTCGTAGTTGATGTGTATAAATAGGACACATTCGATTCTTTTTTTGTAACTAACTTCAATTCAATGTGCTTCATAGATAGTATGTGGAATATGTGTTTGAAATTTGGAAATATGGATATAAAAGTACCATTTTGGAAAACCAACATCTAAAATCAGATTTATTCAATCCAACTACAATCAATTTTTTTCTCAAGTCGTCCCCGCGAAGAAAAGAAAAGTTATCTGATTAGTTAAACTAAGAGTAAATTACTGAAATGGTGCTTATGGTTTGGTCAAAATTATACGTTTGGTCCCTAATTTTTATTTATTTATTTATTTTTTGCATTCGGATCGTTTCTGTGGTTTGATTTTGTTGCGTTTTTCGTTTCTCACATACATAAAGCTAAGGACCAAACATGCAGTTTTGATCAAACTAAAAGGACAAATGAATGCAAAAAAAAAAGGAATCAAATGTGTAATTTTGACTAAACCATAAGGACCATTTTAGTAATTTACTCACAAACTAATTACAAGGCAACTTTTGGTTTTCAAAGATAGATTTGAGGTCGTGCTACTTTCCAAAGTTTTATGAATCACATTCTAAGACCATACATACAAAAAATTGGTTCGAACTTTAATGGCATGCTAATTTACATAAGTCATCACATGACTATGTGAAGCAACTAGAGTTGAAAATAGGAGTTGCTACCGAATAATTTGTTAGACTATATGTGTTTGTATGTTAACCCATATAGGCGCGTTCACCATGAAGTTTTTAGGAGGTTTTAGCCATTTGGTGGGTAATCCTTGAAGATCTTGTTATAATAATGATTATGAAGTTGTTGGACTTCTCAACTTGTTTTTTTTCTGCTAATGCTAGAAATACGATGTGTTTGAACAAGGCGACAAATAAAATGAGCTAGAATTCCGTGCTCTAAGTGATTCATTTTTTTATTGAAAAGCGAATCTATCAAACTTGAACAACCGTTGACAAGTAATCATAACGTGGGCGGATTTGATGAAGGAGACCCAAAAATAATACTTCAAGATACATTACGTGTACAAGACCTTTTGTTCTTCTTAGCACTAGCATCCGATGCTGCATTAATCAGTGATACACGACAGAAGGAATTGTTTTATTTCCAAACTTTACATTCAATAAGCGTAGATTGGAATGTCGATATGTATAGAAAAGCGTGGTTTGAGTAGCATCTACTAGTTGAAGTTTTGTTTAAATCCTCAAACCACATAAATATGAGCATTGCATATTATGTGACATGTATGAGTTATGCACACGTTGGGTTGTTCGAAATATCAGCTAGGAAGGCATCACACAATGTGAACAGTGAGATTTCTTTGCAAGAATCACAAACTACCAAAAGCACATCATATGGAAAATAACAAAAATAACAAAAAATTCTAAACTACCAAAAGCACATGGAAAATAACAAAAATAACAATAAAATTTTGAACACACCAAACTAAAAATAGACCAAACAAATAAAAAAATGTTTTTAATGAAACCAATAAGTAAATAATCTAAACCAAATGAGATAATTCCAAGACGATGCTAAAAACTTGATGTGTTAGATCAAATCTTAAAGTTATAACCGACTACATGTGAGATTTGTGTATTACACGGGTTGATTAAAAACAAAGTTAAATATCAATGTGTAAACATTAAACATTTTTTAAAGTAAAATTTTGAAATAATTACAAACTAAATAATGAATAAGTAAGTAATTCAACCTATAATAATAAAAAAACTATTGACATTTTAAATAATTATATTGAATATTAAGATGTAAACATTAAATATTTTTAAAGTAAACTTTTAAAATAAATACAAAGACTCATATTAGTTCATATACTATAATCGATTTCTAAGTCTCTTTCAACTTATTCAATGACTATAAGCTATATCAATCTACTTTGTCTCCTTTTCCAACTATAGCCACATACTCGGCTACTTTTATGTGCAAATGACGAAATGTTTACATGGTTTTACTCCTAACAGTTATTAACAATTATTATAAGGATTTTCTAATATGTGTTTTAATGATACATATAAAAAATATTAATTATAAAAACTGTACCATAGTTAAATATAAAATTAATTTATTATGGAGATTATTAATGCATTTCACATTTAAATATGGTAATATTATTTATAATTAATACATTTCATATTTAATTATGATAATATTTATTATTAATTAATGTTTCGTATGTATGCGTTAAGACACATGTTAGAAAATCCCATCATTATAACATATAAAAATGAAACTTATACTATAAATAACTCTATTTGCTGATTTTAAGCATGAGTTCCACTACTTCAAACATATACCATATTTAAAACGACCAAAATACAAAATTTTGACCGAAATATATTTGTATGCATATCACATGCTCATGGAGTTATTACACCTATTCTAAAAATACGTATTTCAACTACTTTATAACAATTCAATTATATTTATTTCCTTTTTCGTATCATTAAAACATACAAACTTTAGCATGTTATGGTGCTTTTATGATATGTAATGATAGGAAAAGGGTTAAATATTTGACATAGGAAAGTTGGGGATATTTATTCTTATTGCTATAATTAGTCATATGTTTTGGGTTTAACATTCAAAAATTTTCAACCAATTTAAACTTTTCAAAAACAACCAATATTCATTGATTCATTATAAAAGTGTTTTCAATTTATTTATTATCAGAGTATTTGCCAGAACCACAACATAAGTACATAAAACATGAGGAACGGTACGATCACGCCTTCGCCTTGCCACGATCTCCTGAAGTACTTGAAGCAATACACTGAAAACTATAAGCCCAAAAGCTTAGTGAGTTACTCCCAAAGTACCAACCACAAATACCATACACATAACATATCATATCATAAACAAAACATCCATGCACTTCGGGTCTACTGTGTGACTGGTCCGCCACACCGGGCCTTCAGTCCACCTGGTCCACCCTCCGAGTCTAGCCATATACATCGAGTCTGCAGTGTGGTTGGTCCGACCGCACCGGGCCTTCAACCCACCTGGTCCACTCTCTGAGTCTACAGTATGACTGGTTCGCCCGTACCAGACCTCCAGTCGGCCTAGTCCACTCTTCGAGCCTTGGCACGTCTGGTCCGCCCTCATGGGGCCTACAGCATATCTAGACCACTCGCTGGGCCTTCGGGATATCCGGTCCACCCTGGGTATGTTGGCCTACAACACAAAGTAGGACCCGCCTCAACCCAACCCCAGTCAGACAACCATGTGCACATAAACATATAATCATATAGCAATTAATCACTAATCAACCGATCTAGCAGATCACATATATAGCACACTCTAACCAGGATACCGACCTAACCGGTCACTAACATAACATCATCCTATATACCAGGATTCCGACCTTAACCAGGTCTCTAACATAAACCATCCTAACTACCAGGATGCAAACATATAGCAAAACAATAACATAACAACTATCCGGATTTCCATCCGATAAAGGGCTGGCCTTGGTGCCTTAGACCCTGTCGATATAGTGAGGATAACTCACCTCGCAACTGCTGAATGAAGAGATAAGATCACGCTGCTCCAACCTCCGACACGAACTCCACCACTGATCAATACCAAAAGACTGAACTCAATAAATACCAATAATTACCAAAATATCCTTGGAAGTCAACTGGTCAACTCTTGGTCAAAGTCAAAGTCCCCAGTCAAAGTCAACCTTCCTGTGTGACCCTACTCACCGAGTCGCCCTATCGACTCGCCGAGTCCCTATACCCATCAACTCCCATGTTGCGACTCAACTCACCGAGTCATCCCTCGACACACCGATTCACCGTTCAACCAGAAAGGTTAGGACTCCACGACCAGACTCACCGAGTCCAAGAACAGACTCGCCGAGTCCAAGGCAATCTTCAACAGAATCGCCGAGTTGTTCTTCCAACTCGTCGAGTTCCTGCCCATCTTCATATAACTCGCCAAGTCTACCCACGTGACTTGCCGAGTTACTATGCGACTCATGACTGATATCAAGCCCGACTTGCCAAGTCATCTCCCAGACTTGCTGAGTCCATACGTAATATCTTCATTCAGACGATCACAGGCCATTCCATTGTTTCCAATACATAGATCTAGACTCCTAGGGCCAGATTCAGACGTAAAGTTTCCAACTTTACACGCATGCAAGGCTCAACAAGATCTAATCAAAGTAAAATGGAGGTTTAAGACAAGGACACTCTCAATCAAGCCCCAAAGCTATCACTTCCCAGGTTCATGAGTCAAGACCAATCTAGATCTGTAGTAGCAACCACAGATCTGAGCCCAATACTCGAGAAGAGACTCATATATGATAATGTGGCCCTAAACTTCATCCATGAACAATCTAAGCACAACAAGGTCAAGGAAACAACTTTTTACCTTCAATCTGATGCCAACAAGCAAGGAAATCCGATCCACTTCGCTCCTCTATGATTCCACAAACTCTTGCTTCAAGTATCCTTCTTCTCCAAGCTCTAAAACACACTTAGATCCTTCTCAATCTCAAATTAGGGTTTGAAATCGATGGGGAAAGCTTCTGGATGTCAAAGGGAGTGCAAAAGAGGCTGGGGTGGGTTATAAGGTACTTTATATAGGGTACGACCCCCAGATTAGGGTTTTCTTCCTTCAGCACCAACTCGCCGAGTCCAACCGTCGACTCACCGAGTCGGTCACTTAACATCTGACCATAATCACGACTCGCCTTGCCGAGTCTATCCATCGACTCGCCGAGTTGACCTTCCTCATTTACACTAAGAACCCTGAACTTGCACTTCTGAACTCGGGGTGTTACAATTCTCCCCCACTTAATTTAGGATTCGTCCTCGAAGCCTGTTGCGACACACAATTTCAGATAATACTCCCACAATGCACCTCCTGGTATCCATCGACCCGGGTTCCTCCGAACACTACTATCAAACCTCTATAAAGTCCAACTCTTCCCTCACAGAGTTATGACAACCAATTCAAGCCGGCCACCGGCTTCTTTCTCGGATAACAACCCTTATTAACCAATGTTCACCCGATGATACTTTCACCACTCCAATTCACAACAATCACTTGACCCTTACCAAGCTAAATATCACCCTAAACCGCCGGGTCCTGACCCGGTACCAAGCTTC